CGCAGCTTCTCCCTGCCCAGCATCTACAGTGAAGTAGACGAAGAGGCCAATGAGGTCCAAGAGGGAAGAGTCAGAGGGACAGGAAGATCTGGACTCTTCCTTCTGGCCATGCTTGATTTATTTCCAGCCTCCTGGAATTTAGGAAAGAGACTCAAACTAAATCCCCAAAGTCCGTAGCCTTCCATGCCCTTTAGCTTGGGAGAGGCAGAGGCCAGGCTGAGTTGCTGCCTCAATGCCTGCAGATCCTGGCAGGGAAAGGAAGGAAGGGGAGGGCAGTCACCCTGGAGGGTGGGCCTGTGCTAACCTGGGAAGCCCATGCCCCACCCGAAGGGCCAATGCGGATGTGTTAGAACGTGGCCCACTGCCACCAGAGTGTCCCATTTTTCCAAGGAAGGCTCCAGATTCAAATGTAGATACAAACTTTCCAGATTTTCTTTTTTTTTTTTTTTTAGATGGAGTTTAGCTCCTGTTGCCCAGGCTGGAGTGCAATGGTGTGATCTCGGCTCACCGAAACCTCCACCTCCCAGGTTCAAGTGACTCTCCTGCCTCAGCCTCCCGAGTAGCTGGGATTACAGCTAATTTTGTATTTTTAGTAGAGATGGGGTTTCTCCATGTTGGTCAGGCTGGTCTTGAACTCCCAACCTCAGGTGATCTGCCTGTCTCAGCCTCCCAAAGGGATTACAGGTATGAGCCAGCACGCCTGGCCTCAGATTTTTCATGTTCAAAATGTTTTTCCTTGTGTATAGGCAGCCACTGCGTTCAGCAGCACACACCACTCCGCATCTCTCTCTTGTTTGTTTCTTGGCTGCTTCTTGCAGAGCAGGGCCAGTTCGTAGGCACTGTGCCCAGAGTAGCCTGCATCTTCTGGTCTGTAAAAAGGAGAAGAAAAAAAAAAAGAAAAATGCCCCAGGTGAGATAGGAAGTCAGGGCATATTGCACCTTTTGAATGCTGACCTGTGGGGCTGTCTTACATATTTACAAACTATGTTTTCCATTTGCAAAGTTCCACAAATGCCTGACCCATCTCCCACAGGTAGAATGAAGTGGGTTCTTTTCCTTTTTTTTTTTTTGAGAGTCTCACTCTGTTGCCCAGGCTGGAATGCAGCCTCCACCACCCCGGTTCAAGAGATTCTTCCGCCTTAGCCTTGCGAGTAGCGCCCCACCACTCCTGGCTAACTTTTGGCTAACTTTTGTATTTTTACAAATACAAAAGGTCTTAAACTCCTGACCTCAAGTGATCCACCTGCCTTGGCCTTTCAAAGTGCTGGGATTTCAGGCATGAGCTGCCCATCCCAGCAAAGTGGGCTCTTCTTAGCTCAGCTCACAGCCACCTCAGCTGGAACTGGAAGCAGCAGGGGGCTAAGGCCTTTGGGGTTGAGAGGGAGAGTGAAGTGGAAGTGAATAGGCAAAGGCAGTAGGCAGCAGAGGCCCAGGCACTTGGCACCTAGTCTAAGGCCATCCTCCCCCTTGGCATCCCAGTGTTGCGATTACAGACAGGAGCCACTGCTCCTTGCCTAAAATATTTACTATTTGCCCTTTAAGGAAATATATGCTGGCTGGGCGCAGTGGCTCTTGCCTATAATCCCAGCACTTTGGGAGGCCGAGGGGGACAGATTGCTTGAAGTCAGGAGTTTGAGACCAGCCTGGCCAATACAGTGAAACCTGATCTCTACAAAAATACAAATTAAAATTAGCCAGCCATGGTGGTGCATTACTGTAATCCCAGCTACTCGTGAGGCTGAGGCAGGAGCATCTCTTGAACTCAGGCACCAGGAGCCTGCCCGTCCCCCCAGCAGGCTCTCTGTGCCTCTGCCAGCTCCCGGTCCTCCCCTCACTGTGCATCCCACTGAGTGGCCTGGAGGGAGAATGGAGGAGCCTGTGGGTGGTGGGGGGAACCCCAGGAGTGCAGTCAACCGACCTGGGCACCAGCCTGAGCTCCACCATGATCCAGCTGGGAGACCCCACACAGGGCAGGGACCTCTCTGGACGTCAGCTTCCCATCAGCCTACACGTGTTACTCCTTCAGGGACTCCCCCTTGGTTGTCCGGCCAATAGATTAGGTCTCCCCGTAATAGGCTCACATAGCTCCTGGGACTTCTTCATAGCATGCAGCACAGTTAAAATTAATCAATCCCAATATAATTCTGGAAGAGTCTTGTCCTTCTGGAAAAACATCTAAGCTCCATGAGATCCCAGACTGATAAATTTCTGGCACCTAACTCAATCCCTGACACACAGCAGGTCCTCAATAAACATCTGCTCAAGGAATGAATGGTGGTGTAAAATGAGTGTTGTGACCAAGCTCACAGAAAGAAAAAAAGAAAGAAACGCTGAACACCACCAACCTGAGGCCCAGTGGGTACAGTGTGGGCAAGTGGGAGGGAGGGAGAAACACGTGGGGGCAGCTGCCCCAATTTCCCCTTAGACACCTTAGAGTCTCACCTCCTTGTCCTTGGTGGAGGCTCCAATCTCACTCCTTCCAGCCCACTTCTCTGCCTTTGAGGCTGATTCAGGATATTGGGAACCAGAGAGAGGGTATTATCATTTTCTGTTTTATTCTTTGAGATGGCGTTTCGCTCTTGTTGCCCAGGCTGGAGTGCAACGACTCCATCTCAGCTCACTGCAACCTCCACCTTCTGGTTTCAAGTGATTCTCCCACCTCAGCCTCCTGAGTAGCTGGGATTACAGTCATGTGCCACCATGCCCAGCTAATTTTGTATTTTTAGAGAGATGGGTTTTCACCATGTTGTCCAGGCTGGTCTTGAACTCCTGACCTCAGGTAATCCACCAGCCTTGGTCTCCCAAAGTGCTGGGATTACAGGTGAGAGCCACCGTGCCCGGCCTATCATTTTCTATTTGAACATGCCCAAGAATCGGTGCACAGCAAAGTGCATACCATGTGTGCTTCACAGTGAGGAGGAGGCAGGGGCCTCCCAGAGGATGAGGGGTCAGAAGGAAGCCTACATCAGGGCCACAGGAGGTTGACCAGAGGCTGCAGGCACACCATGGTCATGAGGGGCACCTGCTCCAAGAATCCCCCCAGGCCGTGCCCACCTGGCTCCAGCAGCCAACCCAACTGAGGATTTGCAGAGCCAGTGGGACCGCTGCATTCACCTGGTCCCCCAGCAGCTCCTGCCTCTCCAAGGGCGCCTGAGCCCAGGACATTCCAAGAGGCATGTCTCCAGGAGTCAGCCTGGCCTCCTCACCCCTCCCAGGCTCTCCCCCTCCTGGGCACTGCCTCGTCTGCACTGCCGCCCGGATGGTTCACCACAGCCTCACTTCCCAGAACTGCCCCACTGCCCCGATGTCTGTTCCCGCAGCTGCTTCAGGGCAAATAGAAACTCTTCTCACCCCAGCCTTGGACAGAGCAGGGTTTGTTGGTTTGGGGTCAGAGGAGATACTGGCTAGGAGCTAACTCTCCTCACTCCCCACCCTCCGCTCCAAACTTGGAGCAGATGTGGATTCCTCTTTGACAAAGTGGGCAGAAAGTTTCCTCCCCTTTCCACTGCACCCTGACATTTCATCCCCTCTGCACCCTCCTAGAGTCACCCCCACTCACCCTCTCACACCCTCTCAACACTCCCCAAGGCCCCCTCTGTGGGTGGAGGAATGGGCCCCCTGGGGCAGGGGTCCTGGCACTCAGGCCCAGCCCAAGCCCCAGAGGGAAGGAGGAATCCGAGAAGGCAGGAGGTGGGTAGGCGGGTGGGTCCCTCAGTGTTTTCTTTCCCCTCCCCTCCTCGAAGTTTTTCTGGGAAATGCCAGAGGCCGGCTGGGCCTGGAATGTCAGGCTTGAAAGAACTCCTCCACTGCCTCTTAGACAGCGGAGCCACAAACCTTTTCACTAGCTCTGTGGCCCCTCCTGGCAGGAACAAAGGGCTGCAAACAGGAATGCCATTGTCCCTGCCTCCCTTGGCCTGCCCCTATCTGAAGCAGGAAAGGGAGGGCTCAGGTTCGACCTGGTCTGAGACCTGTGAACTCTTCCCCTGCTCCAGAAAGGCCATCTGGGCCATAGTCCTCCAGGCTACAAGCTTAGTCCCAGTGCATAGGAAGCCAGGGGGCCGGTCGCGGTGGCTCATGCCCGTAGTCCCAGCACTTTGGGAGGCCAAGACAAGTGGATGGTGAAGTCAGGACTTAGAAACCAGCCTAGCCAACATGGTGAAACTCTGTCTCTACTCAAAATACAAAAATTAGCCGGGCGTGGTGGTGCGTGCCTATAATCCTAGCTACTCGGGAGGCTGAGGCAGGAGAATCACTTGAACCTGGGCAGCAGAGGTTGCAGAGAGCTGAGATCACGCCACTGCACTCTAGCCTGGGCAACAGAGCAAGATGCTGTCTCAAAAAAAAAAAAAGAAAAAAGAAAAAAAGAAAAGAAGCCAGGATGGCAGAACTGAGCACCTAGATAGCCCAGCCCTAGGTGCCAGGCCTCAGCCCCACGGGGCCACACTGGAGCAGTGGGCAGGGTTTCCAGGAGGTCAGATGAGAGACAGGTCCCCCAGCATCTACTCCAAATTGGCCAAGAGAAAGGGGGGCAGAAAGGAAGAGGCCTTCCTGCCTCCTCCCCTTGCCTCTGGGCACCGACGAGGGACCTATAGCTCTAGAAGGGAGGGAAGCCAATTGAATTCCCCACCGTGCATCCGCAGGTGTGGCAGGCTAGCTCACATGCAGAAGAGATGCAATCAATGGCAGGCCCTGGGCAGTGCAGCCCCGGCTGCCTCCTTGCGCTGTAGAATGCCCCGCAGTCTTAAAGACAGGGAGGCCTTGGGCTTGGCGTTTACAACGCTGTGGTCTGAGGCCAGCGTCCTGATCCATCTGGCTGCACATGCAGCCACCAACAATGGCAACCTCAGCATCCATCCCCACCAAGCCACGCCACGGCTTCCCGTGACCACCCCCCGGGTGCCAGGGTTCCTTCCCATCCGCAAGATTTGGGGAAGGCTCAGCATCTGTCACACACCATGAGTAAGTGGAGCCCTGCAGGCGGCTGAAACCACTGTGTACTTCCCCTCCATCGTGAATGAATATCTTTATTATCTTTATGACCAAGCACCTTTGCCTGGAAATGGGATTCTGACTTCGCAGAAATTCTGCAGAGAGAGAGATTAGGAAAAGGCGAGAGTCTCCTAAATCCCTTAGACGGGAAATCAGGAGGGCGGAGCAGAGGGGCCAGATCTCTCCTCGACCTCCCCCCAGCGGAGGGAAGATAAGCACAAGCCAGCCTGTGTCCTGGCCCCAGCATCTCTCTGCCGGGGTCCCTGCCTGGAAGTGGCTCTGGAAATGTGCCCTGTAGAGGCCCAGGTATCTTCTCCATTTCCAGAAATGTTTTTGTCCTCATTCCCTTTGTCTTCAGACCAACAGGCCTGATCATCCACTCGCACCCTCTATCCCATCTGTATGGCTCCTGAGCCCTGCAGGGAAAACCAAAAAGTACTCTAGAAGAAAGCAGCCTGTGGTCTCTAAAAACAGGGGAAAAAGAAATCAACATCATCCTTGACTTACAGATTCACTGAGCACTTTCATCGTACCGGGTTCCAGACTTACAAAGAAAAAAACCAAATATAGTTCGTTTTCCCAAGATCCTCACTGGAGAAGTAGTCAGAACATTTAATGCAAAAATAGTTACCTGGAAGTTTAGAATGTCTGCTTTTCTTTCTTTCTTTCTTTCTTTCCTTCCTTCCTTCCTTCCTTCCTTCCTTCCTTCCTTCCTTCCTCTTTCCCTCCCTCCTCCCTTCCTTCCTTTCTTTCTTTTTTTGAGACGGAGTTTTGCTCTTGTTACCCAGGCTGGAGTGCAATGGTGCGATCTCGGCTCACCACAACCTCCGCCTCCTGGGTTCAGGCAATTCTCCTGCCTCAGCCTCCTGAGTAGCTGGGATCACAGGCATGTGCCACCATGCCCAGCTAATTTTTTGTATTTTTAGTGGAGATGGGGTTTCACCATGTTGACCAGGATGGTCTCAATCTCTTGACCTCGTGATCCGCCCGCCTCGGCCTCCCAAAGTGCTGGGATTACAGGCTTCAGCCACCACGCCCGGCCTGCCTGCTTGCTTTCTTTCTTTTTCTTCTTTCTTTCTTTCTTTTCTTTCTTCTTTCCTTCTTTCTTTCCTTTTTTCTTTTTCTTTCTTTCTTTCTTTCTTTCTTTCTTTCTTTCTTTCTTTCAGACAGGGTCTCACTCTGTCTTCCAGGCTGGAATGCTGTGGCACTATCATAGTTCACCACAGCCTCTACCTGCTGGGCTCAAGCGATCCTCCCACCTCAGCCTCCTGAGTAGCTGGGACAACATGTGTGTACCACCACGTCCGGCTAATTTTAAAATTTTTTTGTAGAGACGGAGTCTCATTATGTTGTCCAAGCTCATCCTCCCACCTTGACTTTCCAAAGTGGATTGCTGGTGCATACCACCACGCCCAGCCCATCTGCCACATTTTAAAGGAAAAGCAGAAATCAGCCAAGGTATGAAAATGGTTTCCTCCCTGTCCCCAGACAGGGAATCAAATGTTTAGAGACCCAGGCACGTAGTACCTTCTGGACAGCTTGGAGCTCCGTGTAGCTGGAGCACAATGCACCAGCCGCTGGGGCAGTGGCCGCCTGTGAAGTTGACACACGGAGCAGCCTGGACACACACTGCACTGAAAAGTCTGGATTCATCCAGAAGGCAATGGGAAACCATGGGAGAGATTAGAATGCCAAAGGGAAGGCCAGGCGTGGTGGCTCATGCCTATAATCCCAACAATTTGGGAGGCCAAGACCAGCAGATCACCTGAGGTCAGGAGTTTGAGACCAGCCTGGCCAATATGGCAAAACCCAGTCTCTACTAAAAATACAAAAAATTAGCCGGGCATGGTGGTGGCCATCTGTAATCCCAGCTACTTGGGAGGCTGAGGCAGGAGAATCACTTGAATCCAGGAGGGAGGTGGAGGTTCAGTGAGCCGAGATGGCACCACTGCACTCCAGCCTGGGTGACAGAGTGGTACTCCATCTCAAAAAAAAAAAAAAAAAAGAAAAGAAAAAGAAAAAGAAAAAAAGAATGCAGAAGAGAAGCTTGGTGGCTGGCTGACCTGTTTCAAGACAAGCAGCTCTCTGGAATGTATCTTCCATAGGAGATATATGCTTCCCCCAAACCAGGCAGCTTGCATCCTTAGCTGACCCTAAGAGCCAAAGCGGCAGCAGCTCAGCTCACTCCTCCCTCTCTTCAAAACCTCCCCAGTGCTTTCAAAATTATGACAGTTAACATGCAGTGAGCACTTCCTTATGTGCAAAGCACTACTCTCAGCATTTTGCATCTGTGAGCTCCAGACAACTCCCTAAGGTAGGATCTACTCTCTAACCAGTTTACAAATAAGGAAACCGAGGCACAGCTGGCAAGTCAGATTGCCTAAAGTCACATAGCTACCAGGTGATAGAGCCTGAACAGCAGTTTGGTCTCCTGAGTCAGTAGGCAGGGAGCCCCCCACCAACTACCGCACTCAACATGGGGGGGCCCTTGTCAGTTGCCTCAGCCATCTCCCCCTGCAGGATTCACTCAGTACGTCTGTCTTCCAGCGCTTTGCCCAGTGCCTAGCAAAAGCAGGCTCTCAGCAAGGGTTTGTGGAATGGATGAATGAACTTGACTTGTGTCAGAGCACTGTAATTTACAAAGCACTTTCTCATCCATTACCTCAAGGGCTATTCCTTGAGTCTTCCTTGCCTTCCACTGGCTCTGCCCAGAAGTGAATGGTCATGCAGCCAGGTAACACTGAATGGATGGGAAAAAGAATGAACTGATTACAGAGAGAGTCCATTTCATTACCCTGCAAGCATTATGAGGGCAAAACCAGGTCCTCCTCATCATTGTATATCAATGCCCAGCACATTGCCCGGTGCATGGAGCTCGATGTTTGTGAAAAGTGTTGAATAAGCCAGTTTCCTCCTCTGCTCTCCTCATACGCTGGAGGGAGAGTTGGACGGGATTACTTCTATTTCTATCACATTTTGATGGGGAGAATCTTCTTTATTTTTTTTAAATTTCAAATATCTCATGGGAAAAAGTTCTTTTTCTTTCTTCCTTTCCTTTTTTTGAGACAGTCTCGCTCTGTCGCCAGGCTGAAGTACAGTAGTGCAATCTTGGCTCACTGCCACCTCCACCTCCCGGTTCAAGTGATTCTCCTGCCTCAGCCTCCTGAGTAGCTGGGACTACAGGCGCAGACCACCATGCCCTACTAATATTTATATTTTCAGTAGAGATGGGGTTTCACCATGTTGGTCACAATGGTCTCAATCTCTTAACTTCATGATCCACCTGCCTCGGCCTCTCAAAACGCTGGGATTACAGGTGTAAGCCACTGAGCCCTGCCTTTTTTTTTTTTTTTTAAACAGGGTGTCACTCTGTTGCCCGGACTGGAGTGCATGGCTGACTGCAGTCTCGACCTCCTGGGCTCAAGCCATGCTCTCACCTCAGCCTCCTGAGTAGGTGGGACTACAGGCACAGGCCACCATTCCTGGCTGATTTTTTCTATTTTTTGTAGAGACAGGGGTGCTCACTTTGCTGCCCAGGCTGGTCTTTAACTCCTGTGCTCAAGTGATCCCCCCGCCTTGGACTGCCAAAGGTAAGGAAAAGGTTCTGGCTCCTATTTTACAGATGGCAAAACCGAAGCCCAGAGAAGCTGTGTGTCTTGTCCAAATCTCGTTTAGTCCCCAACACATGCTGGAGAGTGGTGATGGCACAGACTGAGGATACAGTGGCAAAGACAGTACAAACCTATCAATTCCCAGACCCGTGAAGGGCCGGCTCTGGGCTCTGGGCTCTGGAATCCCAAGCTCCCAGTCCCTGGCGGCAGTCTCTTCCTTCCCTTTCAGCAACTCATTATCCTGGTATCTGGGAAGAGCCCAGGGCCCCAGGCCCACAGACCCTGCATCCGGAGGTGAAGATCTAAGTGCCACTGAGGCAGTTCCCGGGTGTCTACCGCACCGCACAGCCCACATGGGGACAAGATGACAAAACGTGCCATTCTTCATAAAGCTGGCCCCAGGTCTCCAAGCCCAAACTATCTACATCAGTGCCAACGTGACCAACAGCAAACCAATCTTTCACCTCAATCACCTCCTCTCCCTCCTTCTGCCCCCTCCCTGCCAGTGATTAAATCCTCCCCACACCCCAAGAGAGGCAGGGGAGCACATCCCAGAGGGTGCGGGCCATTGGGCAGTAGCTTGAACCCCTGAAATCCTCTTTCCTGGTTTCCGGAAATCCTCTCCTGCTAGAATTGTATTCCCAGGTCTGACCCCAGCCGGGGGCGTGAATTCCCTGTTCTCGGCCACGTCTCCTACTCCGCGGCCAGCCACTCCCGCAGACCCCTGAAGAGCCTATTCCAGAGCCTGAGGCGCTCAGCTCCAATCTGCAGTCTCCTAGGAGACCCTAGGGCGCCCTCTGGCGGACGCGGGTTGGGGCCTTCGTTCCCCCTCCAGCTCTCCAGCCGCGCGGGGAGCACCTGGCCCGACCCACGCGGGGCCAAGTGGGTTTGCAGACTCCAATGCATGAAAGCGCTTTCATAGGGGAGGGGAAGGGGCTCAACACCCGCGTCAGGGTAGGCAAAGAACCTGGCAGTGCGCCAAGGCCGGGTAGGTGCCACGCAGGGGCGTCCCCAGCAGCCCCGGGTCTCCCCTCCGGAACCTGCCCGCAGGTGACGGTCGCACGCCTCCAACCTCCGGCTCCCGGTCTGCCCCCGGCCCCGCGGCCTGGCTGTGGGGTAGCCCCACTTCCCTTTTGGCTGGGCCGGGCCGCCTGGACCCGCCATCGGGCCTTCGGGGAGGCCCGGGTGGCGGCGAGGGGGTGTCCCCGCGGGGTCCGAGAAAAGGGGAAGGGGAACCGGGAGGTTCTGCAGGTCGGCCTCCTAGAACTGCCCGCGCTCCCGAAGCGGCGCCCCCGCCTCTGCCAGAAATTGGCCTTCTTAGAAGGGAGGGGGGTGGGGGGAAAGTGTGAATGAGAAGTTGGGGGCGGAGCGCGCGGCGGGGAGGGGCCGCTGCCAGGAACGCGCCGCCGGGGCTGGCGCCGCGCCCACCGGTCGCCTCGGCCGCCTCCCGTCGCGCTTTGTCTCCGCGCGCGTCCCTCCCGGTCCCTGCCCCTGCTCGCGGCCCGCCCTCGGCGCCCGCGGCCCCTCCCCGCCCTCCGCGCTCAGCCTTTCTCTGCTGCGAGTAGTGACTAAACATTACAAGAAGGCCGGCCGCGCAGTTCCAGGAATCGGGGGGCGGGGCGGGGCTGGGCGGCAGCCTATATACCAGCGAGCGCGGCCTCCGCGGCGGCTCCGACTCGGACTCCCCGCGCCGCTGCCGCCGCCGCTGCCGCTCCGGCCCCGCGCGCCGCCCGCCGCCCGCCCGGCCCAGCTCCCGCCGCGGTCCCTCGCCTTGTCCCCGCCCGGTCGGCCCCGGAGTGCGCAGGGGGCAGGGCGGGCGACCCGGGGAAGCTCGAGGGACTCTCACGCCAAGGCTCCTTTGTGGACTTCACGGCTGCCAACATCTGGGCACAGCGCGGGCCACCGCTGGCCGCCGCGCCGCCGCCTCGCCTTGGGGACCGCAGGGGGCTCAGCCCCAAGGACGGAGACTTCGATTCGGGACCAGGTAGGAAGGAGGAGCACGGCGTGGGGAGGGGGCTTGCTCAGTCCCGGGAGCTTTTCCCAGTTTCCCCTCCCCTTCCCGGGTCTTTCCCGTCATGGAGGGGACGAGGTAGGGGCAAAGCGGATGGAAGCCGGAGATCCCGGGTTCCCGGAATACTCGGGCCGGGTCCTCGGGCTTCTCCGGTCCCCTCCCCATCCCCGTGCCTCGGGTTTCTCCCTCGGTCCATACCGCTCGGGGCCACCGGGCGGAGCGGCGCCCAGACAGTCCCGGGGGCCCTTCTCCCGCTCCCCACCCGCCCTCACTACTGGAGACCCAACTTCCGCGCCCGAGTTTCCCACGCTGCGCCCTGGCTGTGCGCGCCGGGGAAGGGGCTGACCGGGGCCACCCTACCGGCAGGGGCGGGAGCCGTGCGGGCTTCGTGGGGCGCTGGGATCGGAGCTCGGACCCAGGCGAGGGCCTCCGGGACAGTAGGTGCCCCGGTCGCTCGGGGAGTCGGGGCGGGCCGGGCGCGCTGGAGAGTTCCGGGCACTCACGCGGTGCGCCTTCCAATCCGCAGTTTCCCGGGATGCAGTAGCGGCCGCTGTGTGGAGGCCGCGAAGCAGCTGCAGCCGCCGCCGCTCAGATCCACGCTGGCTCCGTGCGCCATGGTCACCCACAGCAAGTTTCCCGCCGCCGGGATGAGCCGCCCCCTGGACACCAGCCTGCGCCTCAAGACCTTCAGCTCCAAGAGCGAGTACCAGCTGGTGGTGAACGCAGTGCGCAAGCTGCAGGAGAGCGGCTTCTACTGGAGCGCTGTGACGGGCGGCGAGGCGAACCTGCTACTCAGCGCGGAACCCGCCGGCACCTTTCTCATCCGCGACAGCTCGGACCAGCGCCACTTCTTCACGCTCAGCGTCAAGACCCAGTCTGGGACCAAGAACCTGCGCATCCAGTGCGAGGGGGGCAGCTTCTCTCTGCAGAGCGACCCCCGGAGCACGCAGCCCGTGCCCCGCTTCGACTGTGTGCTCAAGCTGGTGCACCACTACATGCCACCCCCTGGAGCCCCCTCCTTCCCCTCGTCACCTACTGAACCCTCCTCCGAGGTGCCTGAGCAGCCGTCTGCCCAGCCCCTCCCTGGGAGTCCCCCCAGAAGAGCCTATTACATCTACTCTGGGGGCGAGAAGATCCCGCTTGTGTTGAGCCGGCCTCTCTCCTCCAACGTGGCCAGTCTTCAGCATCTCTGTCGGAAGACTGTCAACGGCCACCTGGACTCCTATGAGAAAGTCACCCAGCTGCCCGGGCCCATTCGGGAGTTCCTGGACCAGTACGATGCCCCGCTTTAAGGAGCAAAGGGCGCAAAGGGCATGGGTCGGGAGAGGGGCCTACGTTCCCTCTCCTCCGTGGCACATGGCACAAGCACAAGAAGCCAGCCAGGAGAGAGTCCTGTAGCTCTGGGGGGAAAGGAGGCGGACAGGCCCCTCACTTTGCCCCCCCCCCCTGCAGAATGGGGCAGTTGGACCTGGAATGTTTTGGAGGGAAGGGGGAGTGCCACCAGTGTGCTCCCTGCCACTCCAGCTTCTCCGAAGGAGCCAGCTGGCCCGGTTGCCATAGCAACCCCAAGTGGATTCTTCTCCGATTCCTCAACTTCCCCTCCGCTTCCAAACGGGACTCTTCGGGAATGCTGAACTAATGAGAACTGCCAGGGAATCTTCAAACTTTCCAGCGGAACTTGTTTGCTCTTTGATTTGGTTTAAACCTGAGCTGGTTGTGGAGTCTGGGAAAGGTGGAAGAGAGAGGGGTCCTGAGGGCCCCAGGGCTGCCGGCTGGCTAAGGAAACGGCCACACACCCCGCCCACCCCAGGAGGAGCAAGGTGTCATGCTCCTCCCCCTGGCTCCAGGGAGAAGGACTTGGAGTGACCTGAAGGGAACTATGCTGGTGCATCCTCTCCCCTGGGACAGCCACAGAAAACACAGGTTCCAAAGTCTACCTGGTGCCTGAGAGCCCAGGGCCCTTCCTCCGTTTTAAGGGGGAAGCAGCATTTGAAGGGGATGGTGGGCTGGTCATCTGGTCTCTTTTTCCTACTCATACCATACCTTCCTGCACCTGAGTGGATAGAGGAGGATGAAGGAGACGGGACATTTTTCACCCCAGGCTCCTGGTAGAGAAGACAGGGGATTCTACTCTGTGCCTCCCGACTACGTCTGGCTAAGAGATTCGCCTTAAATGCTCCCTGTCCCATGGAGAGGGACCCAGCATAGGAAAGCCACACACTCAGCCTGGATTTGTGGAGAGGCCGGGGACTCACCGGAGGGCACCCAGCCAGCCCACAGCTGGGGAAGTGGGAGGGGGTGGAAACCCATGCCTTCCAGCTGAGCACTGGAAGTGTTAGCCCAGTAAGTATTGGCCAGTCAGGTGCCTCCTGGTCAGAGCAGAGCCACCGGGCTCACTGCCCCCAGCCCTGCACAGCCCTCCCTCCTGCCTGGGTGGGCTGGAGGTCATCGGAGAGGCTGGACTGCTCCCACGCCAGGTGCTCCCACTCTGCCATAGCACTGATTAGTGACAACTTACAGGAATGTAGCAGTGATGGAATTACCTGGAACTGTTTTTTTTGGGGGGCGGGCAACAAAACAAAGTTTTCTGTGTCAGGTATTGGGCTGGACAGGGCAGTTGTGTGTTGGGGTGTTTTTTTTTTTCTCTATTTTTTTGTTTGTTTCTTGTTTTTTAACAATGTTTACAATCTGCCTCAATCACTCTGTCTTTTATAAAGATCCCACCTCCAGTCCTCTCTCCTCCCCCTACTCAGGCCCTAGAGGCTACTAGGAGATGCTTGAAGAACTCAACGAAATCCCAGTCCAAGTCAAACTTTGCACATATTTATATTTATACTCAGAAAAGAAACATTTCAGTAATTTATAATAAAGAGCACTATTTTTTAATGAAAAACATGACTTGAGCCTTTTCTCCACCTCCCACCCCCCTGCCTTGCTTTCTCTTTCACCCACACCCACACTCTCCATCGGAGAGGAGGATGAGAGCTGCTGAGGGTGGGGGCTCTGCCCCCTCGCTGGAATCAAATACGTCTCAGCCTTACGTCAGCACGCCTGCCCCGTGTGTCACTGACAAGCTAAGGCAGCCACCTAGACTGTTACTGAGAGGGGTAATTCCTGCAAGTCTGATTCAGATCTGACCAGAATATGCAAAGCAAGTTCGAAGGAAGCGCTTCAAAGGGCTTGCAGGGAGCAAGCTGAGCTGTGGTCAAAGCTTTTAGAGGCTCCAAGCTATTAGAGGAGCTCTGGCTCCTTGGCAGAGAGTCGTTCTGAGAAAGCCCAGACAGGGGTCCTGGTCGTGACCTATGACCTCAGCCTAGCCAGATCACTAGAGGTGGGGGAGGGGTGGTCCTGAAGCAAATCTTGCAAGCAGGTGGAACACGCCCAGGGGGGTGGGCATTCAGGGGCTTCCTGGCCACCGCTCTCCACACCTGCTTCCCTTCCCCATTCCTAGGTGCCTCAACCTGAGCACCAGATAGAATCACCCTCCTCCCAAAAAGCACCCATCTGTTCATCTCTCTATATTTTTTTGACACAGGGTCTCAAAAAAATATATGTTACCCAGGCTGGTCTCCAACTCCAGGGCTCAAGGGATCCTCTCCTCAGCCCATCTATTTTTAGTCACTCTCCCTTAACCGCTAAGGGGCATTTGGAGATTACCCGGATAACCACCTGGTCCCACAGGGCCGGCATTCTCATCCCCATATTCTCAGACACAGCCATGTGCCCCATTCAAGCCAGGATTTGGACTGGTCACTCCTGGTGCCTAGATTGGTGCTCAGTAAATATTTGTCAACCAAGTAGGGGCAGCAACTCAGGTTCAGGGAGGTTAAGCAACCTGTCCAAGGGCACACCACTTAGTAATAAAGGGAGAAGAGGACTGGAACCCAGAAGCACTTGATTTCCAAAGCCCACGTCTCTCTACCTTTCTATACACTCAGCATATACCTGCGCTTCCCTGGGATGAGTCCCTTCTAAAAAGCCCAGAGGTTAGTACCTTCCCCCCAACTCTGGCGTTTCAGCACTAGGGTTCTTCTAATAGCAAAAAACATCTCTCCCGTCATTCCAGCACTTCGGGAGGCTGAGGTGGGCTGATGGCTGGAACCCAGAAATTCAAGACCAGCCTGGGCAACATAGCAAGACCCTGTCTCAATTTTAAAAAACCAAAACAAAAACACTTTTTCTGAGGTACTCTCCTTTCATGCTTCCTTCTCCTCCAACCCCGCCTCCCCGCCACTGCCTGGAACAACCACCTGATACCTGGGAAGTGAGTGTTAGCCCCAAG